GGTTCGCCGACTACTTCGTGATCTGTGGGCTGGACACCGAGACTGGCCTGGAGCCGGACGAGCTCTCCGGTGAGTTGCTCAGCCTCGCCGGCGCTGGAAGCACAGCAGCGTGGACGGCCCGGGGGTTTGCTGTCGCCGGATGCATGGCGTCGTTTGGATGCCCTGGAGGAAGGGAGGAGCGGGAGTACACGGTGGCTTGTCCCTCGCACGGCCAGGGCATGTACGCACTCTCCTCTTCCGCACAGCCCTCTCTCTCACACACACACGCACACCACACACACACGCTTTTGACAGCCACGCGAACGGGAGAAGCTCCACAAGAGGCTTGTGTACGGTGCGTTGACCCCACCAAGGGCGGCCCCATTTCAGAGCGCGAACTTCTTTGGGGCAGCAACCCCCCTCCCCCGGCCTGCCTAACCGGAAAATGACAGACGAGGGGGCCTTGGGGGCTTTCCCTGCTTCGTGCGGGAAGCAAAGGGTGCTCTCAGGGATGATGCTGGAAACAGCTGCCCCTTTGTTTTGGCAACCACAGAAGCTTAATTTTTCCTCGCTCCTTCCTCTCCCTGAGCTATCAGAACATCTGAGCTCCATAATATGTTGCTTCTTGCTGATACTTCGGAGGGCAGAGGCAGCTTTTAGGATCAGATTGTAGCAGTCGCCACAATCGCATAATTTTAATTATGGGGCAGGCTGGTGTGTGGGGAAAATAACAGGAAACACTTCTTGTTTTTTCCTGTTTTCAAATCCTTTCCTATTTTCAGATTAACAATCTTTGATTCATGTATTTTTGACTACCACCCATCCCTTTGAAGACTGGTATTATACTTAACCATATTAACCTTACACAAATCTTTTTAAAAAATGGTTAAGTTGGAAGCAGAAGAGGAAGAAGAAACTGCTTCATAAAATGTAACTTGGCAGTGGCCATTAAAAAAACAATTGCAGAAGTATTATTGCAAAATCTGTTATGGCTTTTGAGGCTCCTGCAAATATTTTTCCTTCTCTTCTATCTTCTGCCCATATCCATGGATGGATGGATAAACTAATCTCACCATTGAAAGAATCACACTATATAGCTGTTAAATGGGTTAAATACATAACCATAATATTTTTTAAGCTAGCATAATAATTACTGCAAATATATTTTAATTTAGTTTCACTGTTACGTGTGAAGTACTTCCAGGATTTAATTACTTTGTATAATCATGTTATATTGTTTAAAATGAAATATATTTACAGGACTGGGAGTATATAGCTTTCCATTATAATGTGATCAACTTTATATAAAGTAAGCATTGGTACTGCCTTTAATAATCTGTTCCATAATAAAATGGTAGGCTTGTAAAATCTTTTCTTTTTTACAACCCCAAGATCCACCAAGCAGATCATGCTAAACTAAAATGTGATCTGCTTGTTTTCAGATTAGCGCGTGGCACAAGCAGATATTATTTAATAAACTAATTAAGCAAACTATAATGTGGCATGTTAAAAGAGTACAAATACGCATTTAACATTTGCCCAGTTCAAGGTAGTATGCCATTTACCACCCTACCTGGATTAGAGTGCTCTGACCACAGAACCTCACACCTGATTAAATACTGCAACATGTTCTACACGGGGCTGCCTGTGTAGAGAACATGGAAGCTACTGCTGGTATAAAGTTTAGCAGTATTTAGACAACATGCCAATGTACTGTAGAGTAATGCCTATCTTAAAGTTACTGTGGGGATTATCAGTAGGCTTTTGAGTCCAATTGAAAGTAATGCTTGGTGATAGCCACCCAGAGTTCTTCAGGATTGGGGTGGGTTCTAAACGTTGTTAAATACATAAATAAATGTAAGAGTTCTAAGCCAAGTAATTTATTTCAGAAACAGTTGAAATAAGTCTTGACTGCTTATAAAACTGAATGGAGCTTACAGTACTGAACATAATATTCATTCCTGGTTACAACAATCTTATTTTCAGCAGTATAATATAGATTATGGAAGCATTTCATTATTGATGTTATTGTTAGGCCTATCTGAAGTCAGATACCTTGCTAACTTATTTAAATCACACAGAATTTGTCAAATGAATCCCAGTCTGCCTTTTTCATTCTTTATCCATACTTATGAAGAACTTAGTAAGTTATTTCTGGAATATTGTGTGGAATAACACTGTTAACATCTAAGTTCCTTTATATTAATTTCTTATTCTAAAGTATTTGTATCTAATATGCAAGACTTTTTTTCATTTACTGTTGGAATGTTTTAGATTCTGCTTCTCCTACAAAAACTGAATATTTTTTCATATGTCAGATTCATGCAGTGATAGAATTTATATATATTTTTTCTATTTTGATAAAATTCATCTATGTAGCCATGAAAGTCAAGAGTCCTATTCTTCCTGCACTTTCAAGGATTAAAAGAATATATTCAAATCCTTTAAAATGTTTAAAGTATCTAGGAGAACAAAAATCCAGGACCATAAAGACATCAGCGTGCGTGCCAACCTGGATTACTTAGTATTTTCCAAATGGGGATCCAAATCTCTTGCTCCAATACACACTCTTGAAAGTTATGATTGTGAGCATCCTGAATGAATTGAATGAAATCTTCTGTAGTTGATGTTAAACCTTAGAAAGATGCCTGTGTGCAGTAAGGTCCCATTGGATCTCAAGCCATATGCAGCATTATAGATCAAAAGTTTTGTAAGTTGAAGCTAGTACACTGAATTGTGTTCAGATATTAATTGGAATCCATGGAGAGTGAGAAAGGACCAACATAATATGAAAATAACCAGTCATTATTTATGTAATGTCATTAACTATTTATATTAAAATGTATGATACGTTTCATGTTTTAGATGTTTCATATAATTGCTTTGGAAGTCATTGTATCCTTATATGAGCTCATATGGGGATATAATATTTGCATGAAGCCATATCCTCTCAAGAGATAGTACATAACAATTGCCCCAATTCCTTTGAAATCTTCATGAATATATTATCTTGGATACTTCAGTTCTCATAAATAGACCTTTCTAGAGAGTGGCTCACCTAGTAATTAGCTTAAGTTTGAATTAGCCTGTTTTTGTTCCTATATATAGATGGTGTCCTCACTCCCCACAACTAAAAAAAATGAGAAGAACAGAATGTATTCCAGTCTTGTCATAAAATAGTTTTTATTTGTTCTTAAGCGAGTACAAGCAAAGACAAGTTTTATGCCACTTGCAAACATTGCATTTTGTTCATAAAAAGGTAGCAGTAAGCAGTAGAGGGATGCAGTAAAATATTTTGTTTTTGTACAGTTATTTAGACTGAAGTATTAATTGTTATTCAGTGTCTTTCTTTCCTCTTGGAGTTACCATTGAATAGGCATTTTAAAAATTGCATGGTCGGTCATATATCCATCCTGTTAGCACCATCATGGTGGAGGTGTGGGGTTAAATAAAAATAAAAATAAGATGATACCCAGAAAATCTGATTAATTACTTTAAACTGTTTGATTTTATCTAGGGATGTATTTGTGAAAATTAAGGCATAATCTTTCTACAGTTTATCAGCTAGATGAGGTATTATCCTAGCCACCCTTATCCCCAATTTTAAATATAATTACTAGGATCAGATAATAAATATTTCATTGCCAATTATTCTTAAATATAGGAATGACTGTCTTATTGACTAACAGTTCTTGTAGTGAACATTATCAAATAATTTCTGCACCTTTCATTTCCTTCTGAATTCCGTGTTTAGAAATCTCCTGTCTTGACTCAACCGTGAGTGAACATTTTCCGTGCATTGTAGGCATAGTGGGAATGTACTGTATTTCTACTGCAAGAAAAACTCTTTGATTGATTTCACATACTGGTAGTCCTTGGGTTACGGTAGCAGTTGGGACTGGAATTTCTGTTGCTAAGCGATGCAGTGATAAAGTGCGACATCTTGCTTTACTGCCATAACCCTAGGACCATGTGGGACATTAAGCGGGAAGAGGCTGGAGTCCCAGGCAAGGAGCGTGGGTGTGTGTATGGGTGTTGAAGGAGGTGGAGGGGTGCTGCGGGCAGGCGCTACAGAATGTGGGGATGCGCACGTGGGGGGGGTGCCATGGGCAGGTGCTTTTGAGTGCGGGCTAGTCAGCGGGGGCCGCAGGCAGGTGCTTCTGAGCTCAGGCAGGCCGGTGGAGGCTGCTACAGAGGCACAGGCAGGTGGGGGGTTGCTATGAAGTATGAGATCCTGCAATCTCATACTCCATAGTGGGGCTCCTTGGGAGAAAAAGCAGCAGGAGCAACTTACAGGAGTGACTTGTGACCTTCCCTGCCAGCTTCCCCATTGATTTTGCAGGTCCCTGCCAGCAGGGAAGGTCACAAATGGCGATCACTTGATCACGGCTCGCTATGACATAGTAATTGTGAGCTGGACACCCGATTACCCAGATCATGATCATGTGAGTACGGGGACACTGCCACAGCCACAATTTTGCAGACTGGTGGTAAGTCCCCCTTGTAAGTCCCCTCTAATTTTGAACAATCGCTGAACAAGTGATCATAACTCGAGGATCACCAGTATCCCATGATTGATTTTTGATGATTTCTGGAATAAGCCACAGTTCTTTAAGTCTATATAACATGCTGTATCACAACCATGCAAACCGAATTTTGGGTTAGCATGAAGTATGAGGGAAAAAACGAAAATGGACAGAGCGTATTTGCCTTGTGTTTATGCTTTTTGCAAACTATACTTATATGTGGTAAATATTAAAACAATTTGCCCATTTTATGCTTTGTTCTTAGATTTAAAAGTTACATGGGCTCCTGCTAAAATTGGTTCCAAGATCTGTGCTTTGTTCAGTAGACTCTTGCAAATTTCAGGCTTCTTGAAATATATGCTTACTGGAGTGAAGGGGCATTGTATAGCTTTTCCTCTACTGATTGTATTTTTAGCTATAGAAAGATCTTTGTGCTACTGAAACAATTTGTCCTATAAGTGGCAATTGTTGAAGTAAAGAATTGGCATTTCAATGAAAAGAGGAGGATAAGAAGGAGGAGAAAGAACATTCTAAAAAAAAAAACAAAGTACTTCTTAATCGCTG